AATATAGCAGCTTGTTTAATTTTGTCAGGAGAGCTTAATCGTGAATCTGATACAGTTACTTAAACTGCTATAAAAATACCAGAATACAAATTAGTAAGCTGAGCTGTGAGCTGCATATTTCTAGCATCGTGTAGCCACCTATTTTAGGCTACGTTTCAGTTCGATGTACAGTAACCCACCAAGGGCATCTTAAACCGACATAGTGTCATGGCACGAGTGGCTCACTTTTCCTTTTTGGGTTTTGAAGGTGTAGCCGCCTAGGTTTCAGTTACACACATAAATGCTACACGTTTTTGATGCACGATCGCGAGGTTTGCTCTTTAGTTGGCCGCTTCCACCTTCTTTTCTTTCTTGTTACCGCTCTGCTCTTTTTCTATCTAACAAAGTTTAATCCCTCACAATCACAATACCCTTATTCATTCAATTCAATTCTCACTTTTTATCCGATCCACCCAGATTATATCAGACATCAAGTAATCCTTTTCTTTACTGGAAGACTTTGTTTATCTCCAATGGAACAAAAAGACAACAAAACCAATGCTCCCAGGAAGGTCTTTCCCACACACATACCTTTGATATCTTCTATACTTATAGTTGAGCAGTGATCTTTATTCTAATGTGTTTTCTGAATAATTCTCTTTTCTGGGGTTTCGCAGATGAGATTTGCACCTAAAGCCCCGCCTCGCCGAGCACCAAAGCTCGAGGTTAAAACGTACATATCATTTGGTATCTGGATAGCAATGCAAGGTGCCCATTCCTTGACTTTGAAACTGGCCTTTTAATCCCTATCTTCTTTGTTTTGGTTGTTTGCTGGTTTCAGAGAAGTGGTTGAGGACACTGATGCTGTTCAGGCGAGGGATTTGCTGCAGCGTTTAAATGTAGATGTGTTTGCCAATTTATTATTGCCGTTCTCTCCATGTTTATCTAATTATCTTGCATTAGTTTTCTTGTGTTCTTCTGTTTCAATCTTTTTTTTTTTCCTGATAGCAAACATCGACAAAGACAAAGCCTAAAGTTGAAAAGAAAGGTAAATTCTTTATACTGATAGGATGCTATTGAATAACTAATTCAGATATGTATTTCTCTATTCTTCTGTACTAATAAGCAGTTTTAGTTTCTCTTTTGTTCTTTGGACTTTCATTTGCGTTCTTTATATGGAGCTAAAAATAAAGGAAGAACCAAATTGCTGCCTATATTTCCTAGAGAATAATGATAGTCCATAAGATTGCATTTTATTGAGAAAATTTGAGGTTGATAACAATCCAGAACCAGAGTGCATATATTAGCAAACATTAAAAGAATGAGAAATGTAGATATGATAAATGGCATCATTGCAATGAGAGAAAAGAAGCTTGTTTAGTTTTCATTCTATGATAGTCTTATCTTTGTTCGAGAAGCTCCTGAACATATTTTGGCAACATTTTTGGAGAGAAGCTAAAAAGGTGAGACACCTCCTGAATCCTGATTTAGCCAAGAAGCTTAGAACTTGATCTTGCTTCTTTTGTCGTATGATTACAATATTAAATTTCCCTGACTTTCTGCTAGCTTGTTGAATGAAATTGACAATAAAGTAACAATGATATTTTCCAGACAAATACATACAATAGTTGCATGGTGTCATTAGTGGAAGGATTTATTTCAGGCACCTCATTTTTTTCAATATATTTTGACTATCTCTGTGCTTTGAAATCTGATGAAACCAACACCTCAAACAGGTGTCAGATTAATGCAAGCATCTCTACTTTTACCATTGCATGTTAAGTCTTAAAACCTTTGGTTGATCAGCTGCTTTAGTTTGATGGTAGATCCAAAAGATACTTCTATTGCAAGCTGTATTAAAAGAACCAGAATTTGGACAGATTGCATGCATTGTTTGCAAGTAGAAAATTTTACTCGGTACTATAACATAAATGTAAGTTCTTAATTCACTTTTCTTGATATGCAGTTGCTTCTTCACAAGTTGCATTCGGTCATGGAGGAGCATCAGCTTCAATGAAATTATTTGGTGTTTCCAAAGGTGCAAGTCGTACTAGCAGAGAAACTCTCAATGGTATGCACTCCTTAGCTAAGATGGCTCACTAGCGATGAGATGCCTTTCAGTCTGTTACATAATGTTGATGTTTTTGTAGGTGTTGTCCATACTCCAGGCTTGAGAGAGGAGAAAGAATACAAAGAACCGTGGGTACGTGAAATTGGTTTATTAATGCAATTTAAGATGACTTTGCCTGTTTATTGGATTCCATTGCTCCGCTGATCACTCCCTCTCTGCATGTATGCTATATTTTGTTCATCGGTTTTTCCTTGTTTGGATGCTCCTGCAGGATTATTATAGTTATTATCCTGTAACCCTTCCTATGAGGAGACCATATTCAGGAAATCCAGGTATGTGGTAGGTTTCATTTTAAGAGCAAAAGGAACTACTTCTATTGTAAACATCAGACATTGCATTATAGTACTGACAATAGACACACCCATTTTGGAAGGGACCAGCCATTGTTAACTGGTTCACATCTTGTGGGTGGTTTGCTTGAAAGCTCAAACTTCTTTACTTCTTCTGGAGTTGAAATTTGAGTAGCTTTTATTAAATTTGCAATTGTAGAGTTTCTTGATGAGGAGGAGTTTGCTTCAGAGAACATAACTTTTGATGAAAATTCAGTGGAGCCAGCAGTAGAGCTTGGTCTAATGGTTAGTAGCATAACAAGTGAATCAAATATTATGTGTGCCTAGTTTCTTTATGCTGATGCTCAGTCATGATTGGTTACAGGATGAGAATTTGGAACCAACTATGTTCTTTCTTCAGTTACCACCAACTCTACCTATGATGAAGCAATCAGGAAGCACAGCTGGGCTTGAGGTCGATAGCAGCTCAAAGCCAGCTGCAGGTGTAGGTTCAGTAAAGAAGACATGTGGCTTAGAGGAGTTACCTGCAGGTCTCATGGGTAAAATGCTAGTGTATAAAAGTGGAGCTGTCAAGTTGAAGTTAGGGGATACCCTTTATGATGTGAGTAACTAACATTTTGAAAACCTTTTAATGTTAAAAAAGTAA